AAGGAACCAAACGGGCGAGAAACGCGGGCGAAGACAAGACGAGAAAGGGAACGATGCTAACCGTCAAAGGGTCAACATGATCATCGACGAATCGCAATACCACTGTGACACCATCTCGTCCAGCAAGTCCTATCGACGAAAAGCCGAGACACGCTCGAACTGGCCGACACCATCGGATGATACTCCGAGAGGAGTAGTCGCCTTCGAGGAAGCCGAAACTTCCATCATCGACCACCCGCACGCTGACCCTCTCGTCATCGACCTAATCATAAATGATTTAGAGGTCGCTCGAGTATTCGTTGATACCGGAAGCACCGTCAACGTGATCTTTTACGACACTTTGACGCGAATGGGAATCAGATTAATGGAGATCAAACCTATTCCAAAGCCGTTGACCAGTTTCTCTGGCGAAACGGCTATGACTCTAGGATCAATCCGACTCCTGGTGGCCGCAAAAGAAAGAACCAAAATAGTTACTTTCGTAGTCGTTGATCGACCGGCATTCTACAACGTAATCATGGGCACGCCTTCGATAAACGCCATGAAGGCAGTTCCATCGACATACCACTTAGGCATAAGTTCCCGACCCCTACAGGAGTCGCAGAAATTTGGGGATACCAAAGACAGTCGCGATCCTGCTTTTTAGCGGAACACAAGCTAAGGCAAATGGCTATCACCATCGTAAAACCAAAACGGGTGAAATCAACTCCGCTTACCGCGGAAAACAACCCGGAATCGGCTACGACCGAAAAGCAACAAGCTTCCAAACCCATCGCGTCTACCAAACCGGAGGAGAAAAACCCGGAAAAAGACATTGATTCAGCGACTAAAGCGATCGACGCGTCTGCATTAGCTGAGTAAACACACCCGCGCCAACAACCAGAACTACGAGATGGCTTGATTCCCGAAAAGGATACGTAGGCAGGTCGCCTAAAGATGAGTTCAGCTATCCCCCTCTCTAAAAGGGGGGGGGGGAGTGGGTGCGTATACGAGTATTTGTATACTCCCATATTTTTTAAATTCAAAATAATTTCGCTTTGTCCTCGAGATTTTTGAAACATTTCAATAAATAAAAAGTTAGAATACCGTAAAATCTCTCCTTTATCGAAAAACATAATCTGACAACAAATTCGAATTTTGAACACTTTCGGAAGCTATTTCCGCAGTAAGTTATAAAAAAAACACTTGGTCGATTTCGACCAAAAACTTATACATCGTATCAATATGAATGTTTCGAAAAGAACCAGCGAGACGTCACCTAAAGTCTTAGAGAAATATTCGCAAGTACATCTGTGACTATAAAATCACAAACGCTCGTCGATTGGCCCCGCCGAGCACATCTGCCATCTTAAACAAATGCATACGCCCCACTGGTCTTTATACATCTGACTAGGATAAAATAGCGCGCTATGAAAGAAATCCAAAATTTTGGTCAGCACCTTCGGAGATGCTTGATTTCGACCATACAAGTTGTATAAGCCGATAACCTATCGCGGACTTTAAATCGGTACGAAATCAGGTTAAAATCGCAACAGGCAAAAGAAAAGTTGACTAGTCATCGCATAGCCTTAAAACCGAAAGTAAACCTAGGTCTTTCCCTAAACCCAACACACTGGTCTCTAACGTCTCAAGGCATAAGTTAAGATCCTAAAGGCATGTCTCTTCGTCCACATCTAAGCGCTCACGAAAAATCGAAACATTCCGATACGAGCAAACGAATAGGACGATCTACGCAAAGAGTTAGATACGAGACGACAACTCGTATTCTTCCCTATACAATTAAACAAAAAACAGATTTCATACTTTGAAAAATTTTCATTAATATAAACATCGTTCAATACACGCCGCCTAGCGGCAGGGATTTAAAGCAAGCAACGGCCAGTCCCGATAAAAACACTACAAACGATTACACTACAATAAACAACGAAAACATCAAGCATCAAAGTTATAAAATCCAAACGCCAACGACTGGCCAGCACTCGCATCAGCCCCCGGCTGATCGACCTCACAACCTTCGTCCAGGGTTCCTGCGCTAACCTCAACCAAGTACGGCGACACCACAATGGGATCCCACTGCGCCCACATTTGCGCCTCGAGGTCAAGCAGCTCGGTTTGCTTCCTCTCCTTCCTGTCCAAGCGCGTCTTTTGCTTGGCATATTCTTTCTCATACGAGTAATCCGCGAGTTGGGTAAGGTGTAACCCACCAACCACACCGCGACACTCACAATAGTCGCCATTGGTTCTTTGCACCTCATTAACCCTCGAGTATTTGGTCGCGAACCATCCACGGCAACAAATCTTCATTTCCTCAGCTATTTCTCTCTTACCCTCTCGACAAGCACGACGAACTCTCTGATCGGAAAGCTCCATAACACGACAAAAATTCAGCCGTGTACTCCTCCTTCACACGAGCAACCTCCCTTTCGGCACACTCTTGAGCACGAAAGGAGTTAGTGTCGATCTCCTCTTTAAAACGAGCAGCCTTCTTCTCCAAATCTGCACGAAACTCGTTAAGACGGGCCTCGGTGCTGCGCTACTATCCGCTCGACTCATAGTAAGAAGCTCCTTTTTAAAAAAGAAAAAGAAAAGAGAGAGAACGATAAGAGGTAAGAAAAACTTTCTGGTTATGTATCGGTAAACGTAAAACTAACCTGATTAAATTGCTCAGACATTTTGATAAATTTTGGAACATGGCCAGGGTTCCATCCGAAAAATTAGAAGTTGAAGATCCCCCAGCACATGTCCAAACGCTCCCATCTTCCTGGCTATCAAGGAAATCCTTGAGTATGTTGTCGGGAGAGGAATCGGCATCATAAGACGCATCATCGTCACACGACCAGCTTTGCGGGACTTTGACCTATCCTTCCTCGTTGGAAACACATATGGAACAAAGCTTTCCAAACACGGATCTTCTTCAGGAACCGGAAAGGCTGGAAGAAATCGAGATCGATAAAGAGTGACTGCACGGCGTACGCGCTTCGGGGTAAAGCTATTCCAACGGCATTCCCCGTCTCGAAGCAAATTCGTAACCATTAGCAAACCTTCCGGAAAGGGAGGGAGAGAGTTGGTCTCTGGAGAAACAAAAGCAAATGAATGAAGTCAAAATTCTAGACGCAACATACATGCAAACGAATCGCAATACCTTTCCAACCCCATCTGGTCCTAAAAAGAGGAATGCAACTCTCCTCCACCAATGAACTATCCACACGCACATAGAAAAAGTTCTTCTTCCAAGAAGAATAGGGCGATGTAAAATCGGTAACTATCGCCATTTCGAGACGAGGGCGAAACCGAATCCTTCCGCATCCCCTTCGGGTTTCAATAAACTCTCGAAGTGATCGGCATCAAGAGTCGAGCCTCGCTCATAACTTAGCACCAGAAGCCCGACGAGTTGTTGCAAGCTGCATAGATTCATTTGACTTATCGACAGCCCAAGAAGATTGAGAAACCGGACAACGATCTCTGGAATCGCAAACCACAAATGACATTGCATCAAGAATGAATTGTTGCATGTAAAGTATCCGTCAGGCGCGATCTTGTCATCCTCTCCAGCGATCAGAAGAAGAAACTCTACTGCGTCCGGGACATGACAGAAACGTCGAATGGCGTCAAAGCCGTTGGGACAAATCAGACTTGGGCATCCAACAATACGGTTGGCATCGAACGGTGGGGGAACCCAGGTCCCGCGCCTGGCAGACATCGTCTCACCCCCGGCCGCTCGATACGCCTCGATGTCTTCTAGATCAACCAGAGGTAGCACGAACTCTTCCCTTGGCTCTACGACATGATACTGCGAATTAACCCCATCGGAATCGTAATAATCAGAGCTGGTCTCGGAACGAGTTCTCCTCTTTGAAAACATGGTCAAAGGTAAAAATAAAAGGTGGGGAGGGAAACAAAGAGAGAAAAGTTTTTTGCCTGTTGGTGATCTCAACCATCCAGTCCAGTCCAGCTCGCCAACAGGCGAGCTGGCCGTGCTCGACTAGCTCGCCTGTTGGCGAGCTGAACTAAAATTTGCATATCCAACAACCAAATTTGTTAGGATCTGCAGTTTTATACTTTCTTGCTGGATCAACTTTCTTAGTCGAAGTAGACATGGTGAGAAGAAAAGAGTAGGTAGATTTAGAAAACAGAGCAGAAAGAAGACCAAAAGGTTTATAGAACCAGACGTTTAGGAAGAAAGGAACTTAATCGGTGAAAATATATTTTTCAAAAACGTAAAGACATTAATTAGCCAACTTTATGTGAATTGAAGTTTTGAAACCATAAACAGAAAGTAAATATATTCTTAATCATAATTCCTTCTTTTTATGAAATGTAAAATAAATTTTGATAGGAAACTTACAGTTTGTCGCATAAGAAGTGAAGCGTGATGAGGTATGAGGCTTACGAATCGGCTCCAGGCAAGGATGAAGCAACTCTTTCTTGAATTCACCTTGGTTCACGGCTCCGAGGCGGTGAACCCCCAAACAAAGGTCGCCTCATGCCTTAGCTCCGCTCAGCACACTTTTTAAAGAAATTACACTGAAGTTTAAAAAAAATAATGATAGGCAATGGCCTCTCCCTTAGTGCCTACAGCTTCACCACTAAAATTTCTATCTTTTGTTTTAGGGGCTTAATCCGGTTATGAGTTTGAATAGTTGGTTTATTTTGTTATTTCAGTTTAGCGGATATTTGTTTTCATCAATTACCAACATAACCTATTGATAGGCAACGGCCTCTCCTTAAGTGCCTATAGGCAACAGCCTCTCCCTTAGCGCCTATAGCTTCACCACTAACATTTCTATCTTTTGTTCTAGGGGCTTAATCCGGTTATGAGTTTGAATAGTTGGTTTATTTTGTTATTTCAGTTTAGCAGGAAACTAAAAAAAAAAAAATGATAGGCAACGGCCTCTCCCTTAGTACCTATAGCTTCACCACTAACATGTCTATCTTTTGTTCTAGAGGCTTAATCCGGTTATGAGTTTGAATAGTTGGTTTATTTTGTTATTTCAGTTTAGCAGGATATTTGTTTTCATCAGTTACCAACATAACCTATTACAAGCTACCAGTTATTCCTGAGAATTGAAATACAAATAGAGTTCTTTGGATTCAGTAGGATTAATTTCGTGGAGGCTGCAATTTTTCTAACGATATGAAACCAGATCGAAGGAGACTGGTTATTTGGGTATGAATATTGTTACATAGAGCAACACATTAAGCAGCATTCCGGTTCTAAATTTCTAAACAAGTTTGATGACATATTTCTCTTCTTTTTGCTTCTTTGGCGTCGCTTGAAGTTATTTGATTCCAGTAAGGTCACCTACTTTGCTTATAATCTGTCATTCATTATATAGGAATAATGTTTATTAGAGTTTGGATCTATAATACATCAACCTCTAGCGCTTTGCTACTGCTAGAGAAAAAGAGGCAGATAATTCAAACACAAGATTTTACCTCTAAGGCTTTAATAAGATCTTGTTTGGAATGAGATGCGGATATGCAAATACGAGCCCTTCCTAGCATTAAAGGTGTAGCTGGAAAACCGACCACCGCAATTGCAATCTGTTCAAATTTCTTTAGATTGCTCTCTTACATGGGAGCAAATGAGATTGTTTATTGGTTTGAGAAACTTACATTTTCTCGGAAGCATTCCCTAGAGAAGGCTGGTATTTTAGCTGGGTGGTAAAGCATTATTGGCATGACTGGGGAATCATTGTCTCCAAGAACCTCAAATCCCATCTTCTGCAGCTCGGCCCTAAAAAAGTTGCTGTTCTCCCTTATTCTTGCTAACTTTTGCTCACCTGCCACGTTTTTTTAGAATTTTTCATAAATTGAGTTTATGAAGATCAAATAGTAAAAGAAACTATAGATACCTCTGTTTGAACCGTCCTCTCCAAGAATAACTTTTATGGCGGAAATGATTTGTTGTGCTGAAGGAGTTGAAATTGATGTTGCGTAAAGGTGAGCTGGGCAATGGTACCTCAAATATTGGATGAGCTCCTAAGAAACAATGAAAATGAAACTTAAATTACAATTTTATCACAAATTATGATCATCATCATGTGTACGATTTATCTTTGATAATATTCGTTATAAAGAGTTAATGTTTATAAGTTTTCATAACGACCTTAGAGCCAGCAATATATCCACCACAAGAGGCAAAAGATTTTGTGAAGGTTCCCATCATTATGTCCACATCAGCCGTATTAACTCCAAGAAGTTCACAAACACCTCTTCCTGTATTTCCAATGGCTCCAATGCTATGAGCTTCATCTAAATACACATATGCCTATATATATAAAAAAAACATACTTTTCGTTTTTATACATATTAGACAACCAGATTGTTTTTTTAGATGACTTTAAATGATATTGCATGTAACTGATAATTTAGTTTCTCAACTTTGTACTTCTTGCATATCGACACAATCTCGGGCAGTTTGCAAATCTTTCCTTCCATGCTATAAATACCTTCAACGATAACAATAATTTTCTTCCAGGGTTTGTGTGTTTTGGTTTGTCTTTCTGCTATTTCTTCTCTCAATATTCTTTCCAAGTGAGAAGGTGCTGGAAAACAAGCAATATAGGTAGGGTGAAGATCGTTTATAATTTCAACTGAACTATCTCCATCCAGATATTCAATTTGGTTCAGCCAAAGAGTTTTCAAAATTTTGCCTAAAATTATAGATCTTATCAAACGAACCATTTGGATATTTTACTTTTTAACACAAAATAGACTCTGATTCTCATCTCTATCCAGTATGATTAATCTTGATGGACAAGCGAACATGTCTTAAAATTTAATTTACAATTTAAGATCTAACACATATAAACATCACTAAACCAAAAATAGAAACCGACGCAAAAATTGCTACAATTAGTAAAAAATAACAAAAATAATATTAGTATTTTGTTTCTAAAACGAAAGATACTATCTGTGCTGCATTCTAAAAGAAGGCCATCCAATTGTATATGATATAAATCTGAAATTTGAGGCACTACAAAAGCTTACTATTGTGCTGGAAAACGCGGATATTGGCTCCAGAGCCTCGAGCACCATTAATAATTGAACTATGGTTCAAAGAGTCACTAATTATCAATCCTCCCTGTATCAAGTGATATAAATCACTAATAAGCTACTAAAAGATTAGTTGATTTGCTAAAACAAACACAACATACAAAACTCTGAACTGGATCCTATTCCAACATATAATATATATATAGATATAATCTAAGGTCCGTAGTCATCATGACTCCGGATGTGATACATAGGCATACCTTTCCAATCAAAACCGGAATGATAGCCGAGTTTGTGGCGTATCCCATGCCAAAGACAATAGCAGAATGCTTTCCCACATATTTAGCAACAGATTCCTCAAGCTCTACATGCACACTAGTAGTTCCTTTACGCCATAAACAAACAACACGTACGTCAGAGGAAACATAGAGGAATCACCTAAACTTATAGGCGGTGACGTTGTACCTGCATCTACACGAGAACTACATGTACTTGCTGAAAATTTCTCTAAAGACTCAATAACACGAGGCGTGCAATATTCATCGAATGAACCAAAGCCAAGATAATTGTAAGACCCCAAATTAAGGCACCTTCTGCTCTCTGTTGTTCGACTGCATTGCAACCAAAAGTTTACTCTGTCAGCTATGTTAAGAATCCCATCTCTAAAGTTAGATAAGTTTTAGTGTTAGGAATATCACATCAAAATTTGTAATGGGACGACCTAAATAATTTATCAAGGATATGAGCTCATTTGTTTACTATCATTTGGTTTAAAATTAATATATCTTTGAAACTAAAAATTAATTTATAACAAAAATCGATTAATTTAATGTTTTATAATATAAATTCATGATATTTACATAACACTAGAGTTCAACTTAAAGAATGATTATTGGGGAGTTTTTATTAAAAAAGTGATTATTGGGAAGTTTTCACATAGGTTCTCAATATTTTAGTTAACACATATTGGCCTTGGATATCTCAAAATCATCGGAACCTTTTCTCAAAGTATAACATTTATTTATATATACATATAACTTTGTTTGAGAACCCCCACTAGAGATTTTAAGGTTGCTCATGCTGATCCAAATAAAGTGTTTAATTAGTGTGTAGGATATATATAGTCGATCTAAAGTATAAGGATAGATGCAAAATAGATCAGGAGAATCGTAGTTGCGATTGCGAGGTAACATGTAAGAAACTCCAGATCAAAAGTGAGATGAAACTAATATTTTTTTTAAAGAAAATAATATATATACATATATATATATATATATTATCTGTATTATATAAACTAGGTCAGTTCACTAATCGCCGACTGATTTTAAATCTACGAACTTCTTTCAAGTTAAATTTACTGAGTCGGGTGTCTTTTTTTTGGTGAAAGGTGTACTGAGTCGAGTCACAACGAATATATATATCGTTTTCATTTGGTTATGCTTTTTCATTTGGTTTCGTATTATCTCAATGTAAAGAATATAACTTTCAGAACAAAGCACACTCACTCGAGCACCTTTTCCTCATCGTTCCAGTCTCTCTCGACCACATCAAACCATGCATCTGGTGCACTCGCTATTGGACGGGCAAAACAGTCCTTCATGGTTACAAAAAAAAGTCCTTCATGCAGACGAATAAAAAAAGTAGGTAGAACAATATAACAAAAAACATTATCAATAGGTGTTTTCCTGCATTTTAAATTTAAATTATATCTATGAATAAAATTTTGTTAATAAACTAGATCTTATTATTTTATACTAATATTTAATACTAGGTGATTTTCCCGTGGTCATGCACGGACAAAAATATTTATAAAATAAATATATTATAATAATTTATTGATATTTCTTCAAATTTTAAATTAATTTATAATTTGTAGGTATAATTTATATTAAGAATATTATATTAATTTAATTATATGTATAATTTTAGATATGTTATATTTTGTCAGTTTTATTGTTTTTACAGTTGATTTAGTTATCATTTGGATATATTAGATTCTATCTATTTGCATTTATGCCGGTTGTTATCTTAGAAATATAAGTATATCTAGTAAGATTATGTATAACTTAAGATTTTTTTGTGAGTAGAAAGAAAAAAATAAAAACTAAACTGTCTAATTCTAAATTACATACATAAGTAATTAATACATTTTTGGAAGCTTATGAACACATATCAATATTTACAATATTTAGATTATTGGATGAAAAACTGAAATTTATTTTAAATAATTTTAAAAATAAGGATTCTGATTTTCTTAAGTATTTTGATTATGGTTATATTAAGTTCCACAAACATAAAAACAGAAAATTAAAAATCAAAAGAGTTATTAAGCAAAAATATAATTTTAACAACTAAAATCTATTATATCTATTTCGTTAAATAATATAGTGTTATAATATTTTAAAATAATTGTAGTTATTTAATCAAAAAAAAATTATTATTAAAATTTATTTTTATTTTTGATTTTAATATCTGTTAAATTATGCAGTAAAAGTTTTTACTGTTTTTTGAGAAATTATAAGTAAAATAGAATTTATATGTTTTGTTGTATTGTGAGATATTATAGTCAAATAAATATACTAATATATATATATATATATATATATATATTTCAAGAATACAAATTATAAAAAAAATTCAATTAAACATATATCAGTGTAAGTTACTTAATTATTTTATGTAATCATCTAATAAAATAGATAGATATATAACAAAAAATAATTACTTTGAATATATATATATATATATATTTATATATTATTGTTTAAAATTATTTTTTTTAAAGAAAAAAATATTTCTTTTTCTAATATCAAGATTAATTGTGGGAATTTTTTTTTTATGGAATCACATTATATAAAAATATTGTTTTTCATCTAAGAAGATATAGATATGAAGTATTTTATTACTTCAAAAGTATATTTTATGTTATTTAAATTATATTTAAATTAAATATTACTATTTTGTGAACTTTTCTTTTTTATGAAACCATATTTTTGTATACTTATATTTTCGTTTTAAATAGTTTTGTAAACTTTATAAATGTTTCCTTTTTATTTTATATTGTTATTTGGAAAATTTTGAAAAGAAAATAATAATATTTAAATGTATTTTTTTAATTTATTAGGGGTATCATAGTAATCAACCATCGTGAAAATTAACGTGAACGCGACACATAAGAAAGTGACTTCTCAAATAATATTATTGAGATAAATTTTGATTTAGCTAAATTTTAAAATTAAGATAATTTCGTTATATTTAAAATTTAGTTAATTTTTTAAAATTATATTTATGAAAAGATATGAATATTTTAAAAACTATAATCTTAGATATATTTTCATTTATTTCTTCTCATTAAGATATATTAATCAATTTGTATAATTTTAAACAAAAATTGCATATAAAATTTTATAATTGTTAAAATATAAAACCTAACAGAATTTGTAAAATTTGTAAATATCATAAGGAATCAAAAGGTACTAAGACTAAAAAAATTAATTTTTATTTAAATTTCATAAAATTTGAATATCTTGTTTAGTAATATAAATTATATGATTATAAAAACAAACTTAAATAATATTTCTAATTTTGTAAAATATTATTATTATATATATATTATTATTTATTATCATATTTGAATAAATTAATTTTAATGATAGTGTACGAATTATTTTCAAATTCTAAATTTTTTATCAAAAATAACAATCAACATTAAATGCAATTGATATGTCACATTTATTTAGAGAAAGTGACTGTATAGAAAACATATGGCAAATCATTTCACAAATATTTTCTAGGGAATATTTTACTAGGTTTTAGTTGATTCTTGTAATATTAGAAAAATGTTTTTTTATAAATTGTTGAATTATCAAAAAATTAATAATAAAATAAGAAATAAAAACCAAAATATCCCTTATATATAATATGCGAAGTGATTTTGACATGTGTCATCACCACAATCAATTTCATCAAAACAATTATGACATGACCACTAATAATAATGGTCATGGTTTGGAGTTAAGAGTGACATGTACATTTACATTTAATGTTAATATATCTTTTTGTTAAGTTTTTTAGAATATGGTAATAACTCATAACTTATCATTAACATAGTAATAAATAATATAATAGTAGAAATAGAAATATAACAATATTTACAAATTTGAAATATTTTTAAGTCTATTTTTTATAATTATAATTTTTATTAATATTTTTTTTGCAAATTGTTATGCGGATTTTTAAAAAAATTATAATTTCTAATCTGAAATACCGTTAGTTTTATTTATAACATCTATTAATTTTTGTAAATATATTTAATTTATAATTCGATAATTATATACCTAACAAATTTTTTCTTAATTTTTTTTTAAATCTGATTTAATATATTTTAACCAAAATAAAAAAAAATAAAAAATCTTTCCAAATTTTTCATTTTAAATATATACATATATATTATTAAATATAAATTTAAATAAAAGTTTTTTTATTTCATCTTAATGTTTACATATAATTAACGTAAAATTAATAATGTAACAAAATAATAAATTTAAAAATTAAAAAAAAAAAATTTTAAATATAATTATATTTTTAAAACTTTTATTTCTGCACATAGTGCAAAAACACCTAATATCAGCTTTATTATACAATGCTAAAAATGAACAAAACTACAAAGTTTATTCATTTTTTATTAGTTGGAAGATCAGTTTTTATCTATACCAACTACCAAATGAAAATAATAATAATAATAACACACGGATCTTGTAGTTGTAGAAATATGGTTTTATTAGTTGATAGTAAAGAAAATGACCTGAACCCGATGATACCCTCGTCTTATGTAGAAATCCTCGTGTTCCAAGCAGATTGGCGCATAACCCTATACCAAAAGTGAAAAAGCAAGATACATACAACATAATAAAACAAATGAAGATAGATTATTCAAAGTAAACTTACCAAATGACGAACCTGGAGATTGTCGTCTGTGAATGGCAAAACGAGGATGCCACGGAAAAAATCACGGAGATGGCCAAAGCCGATGATCAAGCAGCAGCTCAAATATGTTGAAACAGTGGTAAAGGACATCCTCTGCGAGTTTCTAGACAGACAAATACAATGATATATAGGTTTTCGAACTTCTGCCTATTCCACTATTTATGTTTGATGAAGAGGTCCTTCTATTAAAGAGGTCAAGTAAATGTTGTATGGTCTTGGAGATGAATTTATAATGAGCGTGAGATTTAGAGGGAGAGAGGAGATAGAGAAGAAACATAGCTGTTAACTCTTTGAGGTCCCTCTTTTTTTTGAAAAAAATGTACTCCGTAGATGTTGTGATGAACAAGAACTCTATCCACAACATTTTTTATTTTACTTTTGTTAACTATGATGGGTCTTACTCTCTCCCTTGGTCCAGACCCAGCCTTTGCTGATACTATTTATTGCATAAAACACTCTTCCCACTGGGTTTCGAATCAGTAGCACAACAAACTAACATCTACGCTTAACCAACTGGTCTACCACGTCTGGTGGTAGGTATACAACACTTAGAAGTACTGATTTGCAATAGAAGTTCCAATACTCAGAAATAATGAATGTGTTCAGTACAAAAATATAGGAATTGTTGTCTTTTATTCTAATTTAGAATCTATATCTATTACAAATGCATCAGTTAGGTTTGAAGATGTATGGTATTTGATGAAGAGAATTCAACAACTAGTTTATTTTATATTGTGGGGGCGTAGGAACTTGCGTAAACTGATACTATTTTCTCAAAGTTTGTATTGAAATTTTACTAACGAAATCAATTTTTAGTTTGTAGATTTAGCATGAACTAAAATCTCCTCTTAAGATTTGTCTCGAATTGGACACCCTAGTTTTCGTGAACAAAAGCAGACGCAGAAATAGTGATTTTTCATTTTGGGGGTTAGAAGGGAACAAAAATAGAGTCAAGAGATCAAGAATACGCTTAGGGGTTCGCTCTTCTCTGCTTATTGAAGATCCTAAACAATTAAGTCTGAATAAGCAAAAAGAAAATCACAAGATTCATGGCAAGAAGGTCACTCTCAAGACATTATGAAGTGAGGACCAAGATGTAGCTACCACCTGTCCCGAACTTGAATAATTGAATATACTATATGCTCCTCCATTTTGGTTTCTGATCATTTAAGATTATACTAAGTGATTATCTACACTCATGTGCGGGATAAAATTTATATACAAAAAAATATTTGAATACTAACTTTGAATCCACCATCATTTCATAAATTCTCAAATGTATAGTTATGGACTGTTAATATAAGATTGTTGAGTATTGGATTATGTTGATATTTTCTTTTAAACCTATTTAATTCACATTTGATTTAAGGATATCACAGGTATGTTACCATTCAAATTCTCACTTTGGTATAAAAAAGTGTATTATTAAAATGATATGATTAAATAACATTTGAGATCTATGCTTGAGCGGAATAAATATTAAATATGTGTGGCAAAAAAAATTAAATATCTATATAAATTATTTCTACATATTATTATTTTTCCTTTACGTATTATACAATAATAAATATATTAAATAATTGAGAATTAATTAACATTTACGTATATATTAAATTGGAGTAAGCACATAAAAATAGTTTTTTCATTTACAATAACTTTTTTGGTAAAAAACAAAAAAAAATGAATTATTTTATTTATACAGCATAGAAATAAAATAAAATAAAATAATATTGACATACATATATAGTATATTTTATTAGGAATTTTTATAAGAGTCAATTAGGCCAAAACCTATAAGAACTTACTAATTAGCAAAATACCTATGAAACAAATATTGTAGGGCTTAAGTTTTTAGCTGAAGAAGGTAAATGACGAAATACCCCTTCTGGTTCTAAGGAAAAGTATCGTATATAAGAGATTGATTATGGTTTACTAGCTAAGCGGGGGCTTTAATTTAATTGGGGGAGTTGGTAATGATTAACCTAGTTTTTATTCTCCCCAAATTTTAAAAATCTGACTAAAGTGACTGTATCTGCATGGAGAGGAGAATCAGAGAAAATTTTTTTTGTCAGTATGTAAAAAGTTGTATGGAGAGACTAGAGAGGAACGGGTAGTTCATTTCGGGGTTTGGTTTGATTTCCCTTTGGGCTTGTTAAATTTTCTTTGTAATCAGTAATGTAATATATTATCATGTAATGAAATTGTACAATGCTTGGACACTAACAATAAAAATCAATCATGGTATTATTTTAATATTTAGCTGGTATATGATATAAAAACTGGTTAATGAACGAGTTATCATTAAGGTCAAGAAATAACATATGACTAGGATAAGACCTGCGCCTTGCGCAGGTTGAATATATATAATTAAAATATAAAATTTTAATATTCAAAAATTTAAAATTTACATATGATTGTTTTTGTATGTATTTGAAATTTTAGAATTTCGTAATTTTTATATAATTATCTATATGTATGATCAAAAACAATTTTAATTAGAAATGTAAATCAAATCTTAGAATTTAATGGATCTGATTTCATATATCTTTTTACTTTTCAGTGTTCGAGTGATGGAAAATAAATGGAGTGTCACTGGGCTTGATTGGTAGAGTATAGCAAGTTCCCTAATGTTTTTAAAGAACCAATTGGTAAAATATTTGTAATTAAAATATATAAAGTTTCTAAACTAATTTAATATAATTTATTTATTTGTCTAATAATATTAGAAAATTATATTTTTAAAAAATTATATTTGTTAAAAATATTTTTCTAAAAAATTATGTTAAATTTAAAATTATTTTAAAAGCAATATTTTAATTTTTTCGAATACAAATAAAAAATTTAAAATTAATTATTGTCATGATTTAACATAGCCATAATGATTTAAAAAATTAAAAAAATTAAAAGTTAACAAATTAAAAATTAACTCAGTTTTATATCATGATTTAACAATTTAAAAATTAATTATGGTTATGAGAAGTTTACGTTCACGTGTCAATCCTATTTATCTTCCAGTTATGAGAAGTTCACGTTCACGNATGCACAATAAGTATTTTATATTTATTATTTCTTTTATATTTTTCTGCATATTATAAATAATAAAATAATAAATATATATATATATTAAATAACTAAGAAATCAATTACTATTATGTAACAAATTGGCGTATGCATATAAATTTAACTATTACTCTTGTTTATTCACAATTAGGGTAAATAAATCAAAATAATCAATCTAATATATTGTATATGATATATAATTAAATTTAAATGATATAAACATAGTAATATAGCACACTTTTAATATGGATATTTATTAAATGAGGTTTCTATTCATATGATTTTATGATTATTTGCATATTTGTGTAACAAAACTTTACACCAATGATTTATAAATTACGTTATGATTATTTGAATTTAAGTATTTTCCATTTTACATATACACTTCCATAAATTAAAAGGAATGAAGTTATTATAGTTAATATATGCAAATCGTTATCAAATCGTATATTTTCCTTTTCTTCAATTACATGTGTGCGATATATATAAATATATAAACTATGTTACATGCGTTATATGCGTCTCTAATTATTTTTCCCTAGCAAATTTCAATTGAACCTAAAGCCGCCACGTCAGTTTAATTGATATGCTAATTGATTGACAACTAAGCAAGGTTACTTTTTAATTAATACAAACTTGAGGTTACATCTTTTCAAATGTTTCTNTAAATATATAAACTATGTTACATGCGTTATATGCGTCTCTAATTATTTTTCCCTAGCAAATTTCAATTGAACCTAAAGCCGCCACGTCAGTTTAATTGATATGCTAATTGATTGACAACTAAGCAAGGTTACTTTTTAATTAATACAAACTTGAGGTTACATCTTTTCAAATGTTTCTCAATTAATATATAGGGGATTAGAGACATTTTGATAATATTATATATAGTTGCAAATGCTTTATCTAACAAAATCGAGAATTCTTATAAATATTTTAAGCTTGTATTCGATTGAGATAGCCAGTTTAAATAGCATGTATCAAGAAAACTGATGGTTGTGTTCTGTTAAAGTACGACAAGTTATATGCAATGACTTGTTTATTAGGCCTACTTTGATCATTATTGTTTCCTCATAAATAAATATTATCATGTGATAAAATTGTTTGATATGTTTCTAAATCCAAGAGTTGACTTGAATGTCTATTGGGTATGTTTCTCGGTTACGATAAAGTTTAGTATGGTTATGTTTGTTTTGGGTTTGTAAACTTTCTTGTAACTGATGAGAGGTGGTTTTACAAAAATGGTTATAAGAAATCTTAGCATGGTTTCTTTCTTTTTTGGTGTGCTATATTTTCTTGTAACCAATGATGTAATATGTTATCATGTAATGAAATTGTCTTATTGTACAAATTGTTGCATATACCATTTCACTTTTGTAAGATAAGCATCCCCTCAACAAGATAAAAATCAATCATGATATTATTGTAGTATTAGCTTATACTTTAATATAAAAAATATCTGGTTAATAAACAAGTTATCAATGAGGTCAGGAAACAACATACTTAAATGATTGGAGAAATTTTTTTAATATTATACATGGTTGTAAACACTTTATCTAAAAACAATTGCGAACCGCAATACATATATTTAGCTGGCACGAGATAATCAATTTAAGTAGCAGGTATCAAAAAAAAAAAAAATGAGGGTTGTGTTTTGTTAGAGTACAACAGGTTACAACAAAGTTTAGTCGGGTGAACATAACAAATGCGCATGTACAATATGAACACTATATCTGTGACACCCGTCACTTTGAAACCAATAATAATAAATAATAATAACATAGGTTTCATTACCAAATACTTAAAAGTCAACATCCACGTCGAAAATCCGCAATACGACATAATATCCGAAATATAGATAACATAAACCGAAAGTCTGAAAATACGAAACGACTTATGCGATAAAAGTCCAAAGGCTTATAAGCCCAATAACGATAAAATACGATAAAATATAATAAGATAGGATAGTAGCCCAAAAGCCCAAATAGCACCGGTCCGATAGAATCACCCCTGCTCATCGGTCTCACCTG